ACCTCTACCTCTACCGCCACATCCCATGCCTCTGAAATTCGGGTTCCTTTAAATTGTTTCCACATGATTCATCTCCTTTTTTTCTTTGAGTTGGTCTACTTTGTCCTCTAATGCCTCCTTCAATGTATCCAAAGGATGCTAATTTAGAGACATCTTGTATATTATCAATTCACTTACTAAGGAAGATTTTGTCGAGTGGTCAAAGTTGACGTCCCAAATGTGACGCCCCACCTCCCCCTAAGGTGAACCAAATGGTTCGGCGGACCTCCTGCCCAACTCTCGCCGGGACTCAGTCGTTCACTACAGTTCTCAATTAAAATTACAATATAAATCCCAAATATACATCAAATTCTCCAAGAATTACATATCATAAGCGAAGCGGAAACTAATTCTAGGCGTGGAACGTACACATACATTCATTTCAAACCCAAATAGTCACACTAGCCCAACTATTACATAAAATGAATCCAAATCCAAACTGTACAAGATATACGCCATCCAGTCACACAAATAACGTAATACAAGCTCTTCCCTTGCCTCGATCCCTGTGGGGAGAAGAAAAACATTTGGGGTGAGCTAGAAGCTCAGCGAGTGAACAGTAAAATCAGTAATCCAATAAGCTTTACGATAGGGCAGGTAAATGATGTCATGAACCAGTAATCAAATGTATGGAGTTTGCTCTTGTGAGCCAGTGAAATCCTTGCACTTAAATATCCAACGCTCCCTTAGATCAAGTAACAGATATACATAAATAAGGAGCCATCGTGCTCCAAAGAATGTGTAAACAGGAGTGGAGACGTTGGTTCTAAGCACAAGATTTTCCCAAGAGCTCGTCGGAGCCAAAATGTCATGGCACGCACACAACCACAATGATATGCAATCGTGCAATCAATACAAGAATCATTTCAAAAGTAACTTTTGGGAAGTAGTGGAGGGATCACTCACCAACCACGGCTCATGAACCTCATCCATCATAGACAGTTTCCTCGATCAAGTCCAACTCTTCATTCTACCAAGAATTAACCCAAACTCAAAGTGATTAAACGTCCTCAAAGATTGGACAGCACTTCCCCTTAAATTTCCTTATTTCCATCCTACAACAATCACCAATATCCATTCAAAACAGCACACACAAAAATAATCTCATTTCAATAGCCGTTCAATAGGTTCAAAGTGGTACAAGTACAAATTCAAGGTAGGAAAAGTCCGGAAATGAAGTTTAAGTCAGAAAACAAAAGACAGATTTGACGTTGTTTTGCGTAACGGACACAACTGCGGCTACGCTTATCGGATTGGGATGCAATTTATACCGTTTCGAAGCTAAGATAAAGGCATAAAATTTTGATGAAGGCTACTCAGTCCAGTTCATAGTGTAGCTAGGTCGAAATTGCACTATACAAAACCAGAATCCCACAAACAGGTTAGCTAACCGCACTATGGTTAAATGACAATAACTCAGGATACCGAAGTCCGATTGAGGTGTATCTTATGGAATTTCGAAGCCAAGACATATACCTACATTTCTTATGAAGGCTTCCAAAGCTAAAACATGCATTTCATGATCAAAAATGGAATTCCTCACGAAAATAGAAATCTGGGCGCGAAACAGGGGTCATGGGCAGTCAAGAGTATTTCAATCATTTCACATGATACAGTGCTTTGATAGAGCTGAAATTTTACAAGTACCTAGCTAACTCAATTACCAACAACTTTCATGTTTTGGGAAAAGGCTGATTCGGTCTCTAACATACCCAAATAAATCCGGACAGAACAGGCTTGTTTGGAACCCTAAAGCTGGAAAATCCCTCAAAATCTGGAAATTTCCACAAGAAACCACAATAACCACATAGAGGCTCGAAATTATCTCATTTATGACTATCAATCCATAGCCAACCACAAGATACTATATAAAACAGAAAATTCCCCAATAAATAGGAAAATTTGAACAACTCAACCATAAGTCACAAAATAATCCACAAAATAACATGCTCTACCACTAGAAATCCTTAATTGATCATTATTAACATGAGAGGGAAGATATTTAACACCTCACCTTTGCAACTCCAAGAAACAAGACAACTAGAGCTTGTTCTTCACAAATGACTCCACTCAACACCTTAAACTAGCTTAGCAACTCACTTTTGTGGAGAAATTTAGAATTTAACCGGTAGGTTTGCAAGATTCAAGCTGGAAATGAAGGAAAATTGAAGAAGCTCTCTCTCTCTTTTCTCTCTTGTTGCTCGGCCAAGAAGGAGGCAAATGGAAGATGATTTGGGTCAAAATAGGAGTTTTAGTAAAGTTAAAAAAAAGTTAGGCAAGTCAACTTCCAATCGGATCGCGCCACTTGACCCTTCTTAAGTTTATTCTTATCCCTTTGTCTCTTCAAGAGTAACCATCTAATTATCTCTTAACACCTAGTAAATTAATATCCATCAATACTAAACTCCAACAAGTTGTCAAAAATATATCGCATTTACCGCACTAGCGGGTCCCACGTCCATAATACACTTCAAACTTAACATGGACTAACTTGTATCAAGAAGATGATTTGAAAACTAGGTAAATTCTGCAGTGTATTCACATATTCCAAAGACAGGTGTGGAAAGTAAATTATATGGCAAAGAAGCTGGCATGTAGCAACCTGACATGTACGGAGATGAAGGGAATGTTTCTAAAAAAGTAAGTGGTGACCTATAACCGCGGTTTAGAAATGTGAATGTAGCGTACTGCAGAAGTTAGAAATGTATTGGGGTGTGACGAAATTAACATAAATATAATGGGCCTACGAATAAAACACCGAAAAGGAAGCATAAGTAGTACTATCTATTTACGGGCATTACATCAATAAAATACTATCTATTTATGGACATTTTACTCTGAATCATTACATTTATGTAAAATACATAAATATGTGTAACTAAAATTGAAGAACTGTTACACTAATATTTTTACGAAAGGAAAATTGGTTGTCGTGTATTTAACATAAACTGATTTTTATGAAAGTAAAAAATATATTGCCCATAACATACCTATTCTTTATGATTTTTTTTTTGCATTACATCAACAAAACATTAGCTATTTACGGGTATTTTATTCTGAATCATTACATTTATGTAAAATACATAAATATTTGTAACTAAAATTGAAAAAGTGTTACACTAATATTTTTACGAAAAGGAAACTAGTAAATTTTGTATTTTATAAATTTTAAATATGTGAAAGTAAAAAAGTTTTGCCCATAACATACCAATTCTTTATGAGTTTTTTGCATTACATCAACAAAATACTAACTATTTATGAGTATTTTATTCTGAATCATTACATTTATGTAAAATACATAAATATTTGTAAATAAAATTAAAAAAGTATTATACTTATATTTTTACGAAAGGAAGACTAGTAGATTTTGCATTTAACAAATTTTAAATATGTGAAAGTAAAAAAGATTGCGCCCATAACATACCAACTCTTTATGGATTTTTTTGCATTACATCAACAAAATACTAGCTATTTATGGGCATTTTACTCTGAATCACTACATTTATGTAAAAAACATAAATGTTTGCAATTAAAATTGAAAAAGTGATACACTTATATTTTTACAAAAGAGAAATTGGTAAAATTTGTATTTAACATAAATTAAATATGTTAAAGCAATATTAAAGGTGATTTTATTAGTTACTTAATTTGTTGGTAAGAAACAAGGTTTCTTTTGCAAAATTTGTTCATTAGATTTTTTTTCAAATAATTAGGATATAAAGGTAAATTTTCACAATCTTTTGTTAGCAATAGGCCCTAATTTCCTCCTAGACAGTGACAAAACCAAGATTTTTTTCCTTTGAAGGAGGGCCAAAATGATTGACAAATAAAATTATTTTAATATATTATGTTCAAAATAATTTTTATCTATTTAAATATATGGTATCCTAAAATATCAAATATTAACTTTAATTATAAAGGTATGTCTATTTGATAAATATGTAGTTTAGTCATAACTAAAATTAAAACAAGAAATAACATTTGATTAAATATCTTATAGGAAAAAATGCACTTTTTTATCCTCAAAATTTGGGTGGTTGACCAATTTAATCCTCAAAGTTTCATCCCAAACATATTGCATCCTCAAAATTTCGTAATTTTGGCCAATTAAGGACAACTAACGAGAAATGAAGAATTGATCGTTAGAACAATGATTTTACTCAACAAAAAATTGATAAAACCGAATGGAGTCATTTTTAACGGAACAATTGCAACGGATAAAAAGCTCAATTCTTCTCCTTCTTCTCTCTGCTTTTCTATAACCCCAAAATTTTTTTGCCAATCTCTGGAGTTTTAATGACCGTTATACAACTTTCGAAACAAATAAATTCATTCTAAATTTTTATTTGGAATTATTTCATAAACCAAATTGCGGTCACTTTCTGTAAAGTATCACTTTTCCATAAAATACTAGCTCTTTATGGCTTTCCTCCACTCTAAGAACAGAGTACCCATTTTCTCATAAATAAATTTATTTATCAGATAAAATAAAAATAAATCTATTTTTCAATAAAAGACCAGTCCTTTATGACTTTCCTCTATTATAAGAACAAAGTACCAATTTTTTCATAAATAAATTTATTTATCGGATAAAATAAAAATAAACCCGTTTTTCAATAAAATACCAGCTCTTTATGACTTTCATCCATTTTAAAAATAGAGTACCCATTTTTCCATAAACAAATTTATTTATCAGATAAAATAAAAATAAATCCGTTTTTTTAATAAAACACCAGCTCTTTATGACTTTTCTCCATTATAATAAGACATTTTTGGCCAGGAAAGTTTCTTCTCTAATTAGAAACCATCGACCCCTTACCAAAGACAATCAAATGCAGCTAGATGATTTTCTTGCAAGAAAGTTGCCAAAAGCAGCTTTGTGATTGTAGTTGCTACTTTTTTTTTTCAACCATTTTTTTAGCAAGAGGTATCATTAATGTCAATATTGAAATATAGCAAAATTTTATACGAAATAACAAACTAATTTATCATTACAAATACAAAACGAGCAACAATATTTTACAACCAATACTATCAACAGTACAAAGCACAAAGATACTCAAATCAAATCCTAATTAGGCTTTAATATGTACAACCAAAATTGCCAGGGATAACAAATGTTAAGATAGACCCTCTGCGATATATAATGAGTATCATGTTTGCATGAATTGGCGAAGTCCATAATCGAAGTAGCTTCTAAGAGCTTCATAGCCAGGTTTACTACAATCCACCATCAACCTATAGAGTCCAATGGAAAAAAATTATTAAACAAAAATTTACATTGGTAGTTAGATAAATTAAACCTGCATTAGCCTACATATATCAACTAAGACATTGATCCTCATATTGTTGCATGAAAAGAAATGAAAATAAGGGACTTTAAAAGAAATGCTAAGGATCACTTTTATTAATCACAAGTACAAAATGTGAACTGAATTTCAAACTATAAGTTGGTAGCATGTACTTAAGATGAAGAAATCATTATGACCCAATTGACATGAAACCAATTATAAAGTAACGCCAAGGCTGTTTCCTTTAACACAAATATTAACTTAATGAACTAAATTTCCAAATAGTTCTCAAGTTAAGATTCCTCGAGATCAAGGATTCCCTTGACAATTATTAACTTAATGAACTAAATTGCGTCAAAAACCACAAGCAAACAAAAGATCAACGCTATCACAAACCTGTAACAAACGCTTAGAGAAAGCAGCGACCCTCCTTAGATTGATGTCATTTTTCATCGCCCTTAGAAGTAGCCCAATAAATATTTCCTCTTGAAGATTAACAAATTGAACAAATATCATAGTCAAGAAGTGGTACAATTAGGACCCTCTCTAATAAGTCTACACGAATAAAGAAAGCATTCAAGAGCAAGTGAGGAAAAATTTTCAAAAAGCCACTTGATCATGCTAAAATTATGTTCCAGATAGAAGTGGAACTAGAAAACACAAAACTTGTAAGGCAAATTGTCAAATAAGAATCCAAAACAGGTTGATTTGCAAGCTTGCATTTCAATAGAAGATAGAACAGCAGCACCAAGCCAATAGAAGAAAAGACAACAAGAATTCAGTTTTTATGTCCAAGGGAAAAGTCCATTAATCAGATACAATATCTGATACTGGAGGGGAGGCGGGAAACTATAAAAGACAGCAATAGTTTACATTTAGAAACAATGTCCAGTGTAGTATTTGTGCTCAGATACATGCAATCATACTCTACAATGCATTCTCTTGGTGCATTCAAATAATTGGAAAGTGGAATTCAAATAACTGTTCCTAGGCGCTGCAACTACTAGTTCCTTTGCCCTGTACACAATGCATTCTCTTGGAAGCCTTTTGACAAATATTCTCCATATAAGCTCATAGAAATCCGTATCAATAATCAGACCACATGCATTAAGCAATTTTACTGTTCATCACAGAATGTGTGAGCGGGAAGACTATCAGTCTGAAAAGTCAGACATTTAGAACAATTAAACAAAACAGCATACCCATCATTTTGCTTTCTCATCTCATGTCATTTCACGTCTAAATGGTTTAAACAATTGGAACATTGACGAATTATAGTAAACTTGACACACCACAAAAGCATCACTTCAGAAAGCGTTGAAACACAAACATAACAAATAAACTGGCAGAAACTTTCTAAGAACTACTACAACTCAACTCACCTTTGAAGAGTTCATGGCAGCTGGTAGCAAGAGTTTTGAATATAAGGCTCGGTAGAATCTATCACTAACAATTTGATTTCTGGTAGAGATCTTGTCAAGAAGCATTAATGCTTGAACTCCCACATTAAAGCTCCTAGAATGAACCTAAAAAAGGGCAAACAAATTTTTGAAAGGAGGAACACCACATTATACTATCTGCATAAAATTTTCATTCTTTCTGGGCAATTAGGAACTAAGCTTACCAGCTGAAATAAGATTGGCGTCTGGGTTTCAATAATCTTGTCAGATTCATCGCTAGAAACAAAAGGAAACGCTCTATTCACACCCTGCAATGGAAGAAAGAGAACTTATACAGAGTGCCTAAAGTATCTTTCAACACCATATAAGGAGATAACCACAAGCAGCATGATGAACTGATATAATAATTATCTGCAAGCACACTGGTTCAGACAAATCCTGTACCACTTGATTAATCACACCCACATTTTAACACACAAGTATGTTTAATTTAGTGCATGCTTCATCACCAATTCTCAATAACACTTTCCCAACTACTTCAATTCACTTTCAAGTTGGATCCTTTAGTCACAAAACACAGCACCAACTTGGAAGAATTAGTTCAAAAAAATTATATAGAGAAAAGTTGATTCTTCATAACAAACATATACTAAATAAAGTGTACAATCTTTTTCTTCATACTTGAGAAAGAGCAAAACATTAGTTAGGAGTAACCTGCAAAACATTCACTGTCTTTGAACTAATCTAAGGCAACTTAGTTGAAGCAAGGTGTATAGGGAGGGAAAAACAAGAAACAGTGCCAGAATTCTACATAAGATAATTACATGGTAAGTGCCAAAAATTAGAAGCATTTATAAAGAGTATGCCTGAATTTGTACAATAGCTTACCACAAATATTAGCATTTTCTTACTCCATCGCTTTCAAAAGATAAAATGGCCTTGAAACTTCTAGCTGATGCTACATGATCCCAAAAAAAAATACAAATCCTACTTTAGCAGTTTCTTCTACTTATATGTTTGCAATCATCAAATAATAAAGAAGCGAAAAAAATTAATCTATACTAACTGTTAAAAGAGCTGTTAATAACCGGGAATCCATCTCAACGTGAGATTCTGGAGGAGCATTCTTTGGATTACATTTTGAACTAGAAATTTTTCTAGCTTTTTCTTTACTGCATTTGTTCGTCCCATGCTCCCTATTGGCATCAGAAATCAATACCTGAAACAGAGACTAGCATATTAACTTGTTGCACAAAACTAACGTGTCTTCCATGTTAATTGACTAGATCTTTGAAATCCTTGACTTTCATCAAAGAAAACAAGCACAACACTTTTTTTTCCATACCTTAAATAGTGCAAAACACACCTCGATTAAATGCTTTGCCACTTTCGGCCCATCTCCCTCGTGACTTAAACGAACTTGGCTTAAGAAGTTAACCTGTACACAGATAGCATTAGATAAATCAAGTTCACTCAGAAACACAAATATAAACAAATACAGCAGCAAAACACTATACTTGAACACCGAAGCTAAAACGTCTAGCATGCTGAAATAAAACATCTAGGAATGGCATACTGAAAGTAGTGTATGATACACTCCTAAAGCGCTAGTAACCTGAAATGTGAAAGCAAATAGCATAGATATTATACTGTGTACAAAAAAAGGGACAATGCTACCATTATTAAAGACTTTTGTCAACTAACTGACAAACATTGGACATGAAACCATAAACTAAAGATATCAGCTAATGTATAATAAGAGTAAAGACCCCTTTCTCTACTCCAACTGAGATGCCCATTCACTCTAATCCACTGAAGTAGAAGCCTACAATTTCAAAAAGCTTATCTTGCGATTGTTAAATTGACCAAAAATGCAAGAAAAAGGCAATTGACAAAACAGAGATGAAAATAACATATCTGCTTAAAAAACCTACATCATCGCTTTTCCTTGAAGTCTGCCATTGCATCGGAAGGGTCTTTAAAGTGTGTCTATGATTGTATAAATTCAGATCTAGATGCTAGAGAGGAAAAGAGGAACCATATGTCTACGGGAAACTGAAAATTAATAGAGAGGGAAAGAGAGATAGAAGGAGAAAGTTGTAGGGGAGGTTGCGATTAAACTTTCAAGGGCTCTGATCTGAGAACAATAATATTTGGGAAAGTAGCCTTGCAAGTATGGAAGGCTTGGAATTCATGTGGTGCTACGCTTGACAAGTGTTGTGCCGGGAATGGTTAAAAAATTTTCAATGCGCGGCTTGCTAAAAATTGGAAGGGAGCAAAATTTTGAAAATTTCACAAAAAAGCACCCATGATTTCTCACCAATAACATAGAAACTTTGGCCCACTAAAATCAGTATTTGGAGGGAAGCTTTCCCACACCCATTTCCCGAGAATTTTAAGCGATAAAAGTCCTTGCCTTGCAGAGTATATAATGGCTCCAATTTTTTGTAAGGTGTTGTCCTTTTCCTTGCTATAAGCCTCTTAATAGTGTCAAACTTTCTACTTCTTGCTAAAGTTGTTGTCGCTAACTGGTGTTTTATTAAAGAACTGATGTTTTATTGAAGAACGGATTTATTTTTATTTAATCCGATAAATAAATTTATTTATGAAAAAATGGGTACTCTGTTCTTATAATGAAGGAAAGTCATAAAGAGTTGATATTTTATTGAAAAACGGATTTATTTTTATTTTATCCGATAAATAATTTTATTTATGAGAAAATGGATACTCTGTTCTTATAATGAAGGAAAGCCACAAAAAGCTGGTTTTTTATTAAAAAATAAATTTATTTTTTTATCTGATAAATAAATTTATTTATCAGAAAATGGATACTCTGTTCTTATAATGGAGAAAAGTCATAAAGAAGTGGTGTTTTGTTGAAAAACGGGTTGTACTCTGTTTTTATAATGGAGGAAAGCCATAAAGAGTTGGTCTTTTATTAAAAAATGAATTTATTTTTATTTTATTCAATAAATAAATTTGTTTATGAAAAAAAGGGTACTTTGTTCTTATAATAGAGGAAAGTCATAAAGAGCTGGTGTTTTATTGAAAAACATGTTTATTTTTTATTTTATCCGATAAATAAATTTATTTATGAAAAAATGAGTACTCTGTTTTTATAATGGAGGAAAGCCATAAAAAGTTGGTCTTTTATTAAAAAATGAATTTATTTTTATTTTATTCGATAAATAAATTTGTTTATGAAAAAAGGGTACTCTGTTCTTATAATAGAGGAAAGTCATAAAGAGCTAGTGTTTTATTGAAATGAAAAACAAGTTTATTTTTTATTTTATCCGATAAATAAATTTATTTATGGAAAAATGGGTACTCTGTTCTTATTATGGATGAAAGCCATAAAGAGTTGGTCTTTTATAAAAAAGTGATTCTTTACAGAAAGTCACTGCGATTTGATTTATGAAATTATTCCAAATAAAAATTTTGAATGAATTTGTTTGTTTTGAAAGTTGTATAATGGTTCTTAAAACTCCAGAGATTATTCTGAGCACTGGTTATGACACACCGAATGGGTGTGATAATAATAATAAATTATGATAAAAAAATTGGTTTAAATGTCAAGCAGACGAAGGTAACCAATTTTTAAATTACTTTCACATGAGTGTTTAATAAATAGTTGGCAGTTTGTTTTACTGTAATCAATTTTGTTTCCAAAACTTTTAATAAATGAAAACCAATTTTGTTTCCAAAACTTTTAATAAATGAAAATTAAAGAATAGGAAACACTGGATAGATATGGCTTTGCAAAAACTTTGATATAATTATTGTGTATACGAATTCAAATTCATTTGCTTACTAATGAATTTGAATTTACGTCTAATTGAATTAATTATAAATAGGTAGTCGAAATTTGTCCATTTAATAGCCACTAATTAATTGGTTTTATTCAGCTATCCATTTGAAATTAATAAAATCACGTATCCATTTGGATTAACATTGTGAATAAAAGAGCAATGAAAAGTAGAGAAATGTCGTGGGGAAAGTGCTGCATGAACAGAGAATATAGAAGGGAAAGGAAATAATGTTGTGCTTTGCTAGCGAATAATAATAGTAATTCTATTACTATTATTATTACATTAAAGGTAAATCTGCCAACAGCACAAATAATTTAGGTATTCAAGCAAAATCTTAGAAATAGCTTTATTCAGGCCAAATATGCTCCAACTGCACAAAAAAATGGCCCATTACACCAAAATTATTTCCATTATTAAACAAATTCAACTCACATACATGTATAAGGGATATTTATGGAATGAACAATTAAAGGATATTATTATACTCCCATTTTTTCACTTCACTCCCCCATGTAAAGTAATTTTTTTAATGTTAGTAAATTTTGTTGGAATTAAATTTGTAATATAAATCTTAGAGTCTTTGGAGTTTTGTATAGTTTTGTAAATGTTAGAGAAGACCGTATGAATATGTCAAAACCTATAGGAGGTTTCTACAATTATGTCTAATTTTATAATTAGCCGAAGCAAAAGGCAAGCAAATGCATGTACTATTTTACTTCAAGTAATAGCAAGTTTCATTCAAGCAATAGTAAGTTTTTATACATAAATAGTAATTATTACTGATAACATGGCAAATTTGATTAATAATCAATATTTTCTGATTTATGGGACACATGTACCATTTTACTTTAAAACTTATCTCAAACTAATATTAGGAAGTTTATTTGAAATAACGATAAGATGTTTTATCAATAATCAAAGCTTAATACCTTATTTAGTAAGTATTCATAATATACTCGTATAATACATGATTATAGGTATAATTTAAAATTTTTTTGTACTTATATATTTTAAAATACTACGAAAAATAGTATGAACTAAATCTACTCTCCAAAAAGTAAATTTCGGATATAGAGTAGTGATTTATTTTTAAAAAAAATTAAGTTGCATATTTATTCCAATTTATGCATGAAGATACATCGATCAGTGCTCTCTGGATGCATCCAAACTCCAGTGAATGCCTTTAAACTAAATTCTAATTAAAGTAATATCCAAAATAATAAAATACTACTCGTATAAAAACACATCAATATAATTTCGCTAATAGCAATTAAATTTGAAGTTTTAAAATATGCATAAATAGTAATTTAGTTTAAAAATATAATTAGTATAAAGAGTATAATTGGCATAAATAAGTGTATTCAGTAAGCCAATGTTGTAAACCTCCCCTGAGGTTTCTCTTCATTTCGCCTGACACCCCTAAAGTTTTAAAAATATCACTAATATACCTTACTTTTGTTGTTTGTGTAGCAAGATTTTTAAATATCCTAACTACCCTTTTGCTCGCTAGATAGGAATATTCGTAAACCACTTTGTTTATTTGAAAAAAAACTATCATCATTTACATGGTATTTCTTTTGTATTACTACTATATCATAATGCTATACAATCACAGATAAAACTGTAAATTTGAAAAGTAAAAATGATATTGAAATTAAGATGCTATTGAAATTTGTTTGGATAGAGTATTATTTGAAATATTATTTGGAATAATTACGATAGTACATTTTGTGATGTGATGTATGCAAGATAAAAAGGTGATTGAAAATATAAAAAGGTGAATTAAAAAATGTGTTTATGATGCAAGCGAAATATTATTTGAAAAAATATGCTATCCAAACACTTCGAAACAAATAGGGGGCTAATGGGGGCCATAGATCCCCTCTTCCCAAAGTTTTAAAAATTTTAATTCATATTGTGTAAAACAAAGTTAGCCTCCTAATTTTTTATAATTTTAGTTTATATTATGAGAATATATATATGTGTATATATGTGTGTGTGTGTGTGTGAATTAACTACCTTTGAATTAATTTTTTATTAAAAAAGTTATTTATTTTTTGCATCTCTTTATAATTTGTGAATGATTGTGAGAGTAAAATATATTATGACAATAAGATACGTTGAATTTTGAAAATTGTAATTTAAATAGTCTCCTAAATTTTGAATATTTGACTTTTATAGTTGCAAATTTCTTAAATTAATAGTTGATAAATGTCAATAATAAATGTGAGATGTGAATTTTACAATGGTGATTATTATCTATTTGTTAAAGTTTAGGAGTTTGAATTTTATGGGTTAGTGAGAAAAACGTGGAAAAATGTGGGAAAAACATGAGCATGATTATAGAATTTGTAGGAGTGGTTACATGATTAGTTAAGAGATAAACATTTCTTAATTATAAAAATGTAAAATTCTATTAAAATAGCATTCAGACTTTTGACAATTTTGAAAGCTCCTTATCCAAAATCCCCTCTGTAATACATATAGATATAGATGCTTTAGTAACGATAGTTATGATAGCGAAATAGTTTTTACCTAATATAACAGATTGTTACACTTTTAGCGAACATTTGATTTGTCGTTGGACCTATGCACTTAAATAGAATAATACCTAAAATTATGGAAGTAAGTTTCCCATCTAAAATAGTAAGTTAAGCCTAATAGATTAGTAACTTTTACACCTAAAAAGGTAAATTGGAATAAATATTAAACTTAATTTTTAAATAAATAAATTACTACTTTATATCCCAAGCTTACTTTTAAAAGAGTAAGTTTAGTTCAAATAATAGTAAGTTTTTATACATAAATAATAATTCTTACTAATAACATGGTAATAAAAATGATTAAGGATCAAAATTTACTATTTTTTGGAATACATGTACAATTTTTACATTAAAACCTTATCTCAAAGTAGTATTAGGAAGTTTATTTGAAATAATGATAAGATATTTTATTAATGATTAAAACTTAGTACCTTAGTTAATAAGTACTCATAATATACCTGTATAATAAATAATAATAGGTATAATTTAACAAACCAGGTTTAAGGGTTTTATTTAAAATAAAGTAATAATTTATTCATTATAAATTTAACACCTGAGGTTGGAATCCATAATTTATTCATTATAAATTTAATGTCTAAATTTATTAAATTCTTCATTTTATATGCTTATAGTGTTTAGCTCCTCCGCCAAGCTTCGCGCCTTTTTTCCTTGTCCTTACTTTTGCACAAGACCCTCTCACTTTGCCAGTTGCTCAATTTAGGCACTCCACATTTCACATTTACAGTTGGAATCCCCTTCAATGCCC